CTGCCAAGGCCTCCCTAACAAAATATGGCAAGTATCCATATCTACAATATCACAATATACTTCATCATGGTACTTACTAATAGAAAAAGGTACCTTGCAGCGTTCTTCCACTCGTACGCCGCCTCCTTCCTTGATCCACCCAATTGTGTATGGGTTGGGATGTTTTTCAGGAATCAGTTATAATTGTTGGATGACATCCCTGCAAATAATATTTTCTTGACTGCCACTATGAATAATTAAATTAAATAATTTTCCCTTAACAGTACATCTAGTACGAAATAATCTGTGCCTTTGAGAAGTATCCTTATTTTTCTGGAACAACATTAGTTTTCTTACTACACAAGTATACTCCTCATGTTCATATGGACCCTCTTCATCCTCCCCATCAAGTCCACAATATACTTCATCCTCAATATCTTCTTCCTCCTCCCTKTCTACCATATTAACTGCCTTCCTCCTGGGACATTCACTGGATCTATGTCCCACTTCACTGCATTTAAAACATTTAATAGGAGCAGGCCTTGCATAAGGGTTACTGGGTTTAGGAGGGTTGGAAGGATTACCTCGAGTATGTCCTCCTGTAGTAGCCTTACTGGCGTTACTTGTGCATGCCGGGTGAGAAGGTTGTACTGCCGGGACTGATTTGTTCCTATTGACAGTTGTCGGTCTGTTGTCGCTCCCGCTGTACCGGTGGTAATTATCACTGTGCGCCTTGTCTTGGAACATTAATTCTGCTTTCAAGGCTAGGTTCCTTGCTTCCTGCACACTAAGAACCATTTGTACACCAATTTTGCCTCTGATGGACGGTCTCAAACCGCTTAGATAACGGGCTGCCTGCTGGTTATCACTTTCAGATAATTGGTTTCTTCCAGCTAATCTCAAAAATTCAGATGTATATTCGTTAACACTACGAGAACCCTGCGCACACCTCTGATTAATTGTTTCATGCGCCTCCAGGTTCGAATAGGACCCCTTCCTTCTCTCATCTGTTCCCACCAAACAGATGTGCCTCCCTTTAATCGGAAAGCTACTAATTTTACCCTTCGTTCCTCTGGTATTTCCATGTAATCAAAGAACCTATCGACTTYTGTGATCCAATCCAGAAGTCCCTCTATACCAAGATCTCCACTAAAAGTAGGAATATCTACCTTGAGTTTAAATTCATCATTATTCCTACGRGGATTGAAATTACCTTGATTGTGCCAATTTCTACCGTTTCTGTCGTTGCCGGGAAGAACTGGAGCACCACCAAATTCGAAATCATCATCACTGTCGTCATCAAGAACTGGACGTCGGGACGCAGTAGCGACGGGTGGTCTGTCGTGGTCGTCTCCTTCGATCTGTTGTGGATTTTCCTAGTTTCATGGGACAACCTCCCGTAACAAGGTTTGCAGTTGTTCAGTCACCTCCGCCAACTGTCATTCGATGTTACGTGTGGCTGTACGCTGCTCTTCGATTGCTCTCCAAACAGCTGGGAACCCCTGATATCCGTCACGGGGTGGGTTGCGACTGCTACCGTCTGGGTTGGACATGACTGGGCGAATTCCCTGCTCCGATACCACCTGACGCAGCGTGAAAGCAATGGAAGCCGGAGCTGGCTATGCAAGCACCGGGCGTTCGCTAGCACCTAGCGAATAACACCGATTTCTCTAGGAGAGAGAAAAGGTGGCGAAAACTCAAAGAAGAGAACTCCAGAAAATCTAAAAATCTGAAGTATGAATTGATTAATAATAGCAGTATTTATAATACATTGAGAAATTGTAAAATAATTAGGAAAGAACATGGATCTTGATCTTCTTGAGATGTCTTGATAAGGTCGAACCCTCTTAGAATTCTTGGGTTTGATCTTCACCGTCCGATCTCTCTAGATGCATGGATCTTGGATTATCTTGGAGTCTTTCTTGATAATCTTGGAAGAGTCTTGCTCTATCTTGGAAAAGTCTTGCATTATCTTGCTAATCTTGGATTCTTGGATCCCTTGCTTATCTTGAATTCTTATTTAACTTATCTTTATCCTAAGAACTGCCACCCCTAGGGATGAGATGGGTCTTGTGATGGGCCTCCATCACGAGGTGACACCCTAATCCAACAACTTTTCATCTTCACCCTTATGGCCAATATCAACATCAACAAATGATAATTTACAAATACTGAGCAAACGAGTTTCATGTCAAAATGCATGAAACCATTGCCTCTCTAAATGTGTCATATGAATTTCAATTGGCGATGGCACCAAAACACAGCCTATACTATTGGGGTTTTGACTATGATACTATAAAATCTTGTAACCAATGAACGGACATCATACAACAATCACGTAGTATCATGTCTGTCTTGCAGTATAGATTTTACCAAATTATTATACTCATACCCTTTCACTCAACATTAAGAAAACTTGGGCTGATGATATAAGTTCTTCTCACCATAAATCATTATATAAGGGAGTGTTCTACAAAATGAATATTTTTTCCATTTATTTTTTAAATTACCACATCAATAAAAAGCATGTTATTGTGCTGTGTTTTTATTTTGAAAATATGAAACAAGCTAGTTTTGTTTGAGAAAGCAATTCATGTTTTTGAAACCATGAAACTGATGGTTTTAAAAACAGAAAACAATTTTATAGTAGAGATATTATATGATTTATGGAAAATGATCTTAATAATCGGATGAAAACATGCTCTTCAAACTAAAAATTCAAGAAATTGAACGTTTTTTAAACATGTTAAATATGTTTCTGTTTGAAGAGCCAATTTATTTTCAAACCAGATACGGCTTTTGTTTATTTTTGGATCTCACAACAATAAATACAACACATTGAAGAATACCCTAAAAGAGATAGAGAGGGGAGCTATTTTTTGAATTTTGAATGAAAGACAACACAAATGCCAAGTTATTTTATTTTTCAAATGAAATAAAGCCATCATCTTAATCAATTTAATCATACGAGGCTCCACAAATAAGAGAATGCTTGATTGTGAATGATGATGATGATGTTGATACACCTATCCATGTTATATGTAGCACCCATTAAGCATTAAGAAATTATTCCCAAATCCTAATCTTGTATATAAACACAAATTATGTAATTAGTAATAAATTAATACATGATTAATCATACCAAGGTATCATTAGTTTATTGAAGCTTTAGTTTTCCACAATAATGTATAGGAGACAAAAGTGGAACCTCCTCAAGCACACCCCTATTTCCCCATTGCCCATCATTATCATGTTCCCAACCACCTACTGCCTCAACAAACTCAATCCAACGGTCAGGATTGCTGGGTTTGTTGCGTTGTGCAATACAAATTTGTTGGATCGTTGTCAAGCCTCAAGAATCCATATGGCTCCAACCCATGAACCCGTTTTCATTCTTCCCAAGGTTTAGGTCTAGGTTTTACATGTGAGCCGCAGATCTCATGAGATATATCTCACGGATTGGACGGTTCAGGTTAAAGATGCCTTTAGATAGTGGCCCCACTAACCTTGATGTCACTTTGCAGTTTGCACGACCGAATGCTGTCTCTCTAGGGTGGTTCTTCATTACCATATATCTCCATAGTCTCCCTTTATATTGGCAGTCTCTCAGCAACATCATCACCTTGTCGGCCGCTTTACCCATTTCTAGCTCCACACTACTCTTCCTCCTCCAAAGTCCACAGTTCACTCCTCTCTCTCTCTCTCTCTCTCTCTCTCTCTCTCTCTCTCTCTCTCTCTCTCTCTCTCTGCGAATAGAGCACCATTACCACCAAAACCCTCTATCTCCTCTTTGTCTGTGTGTTTACATCAGACCACCATTCCCAAGAGAAGCTCTTTCTCTTTCTGTGTGGGTGTTAGGAGTGTGTGGGGGCGTCCGTGCGCGTGTGCATGTCTGCATTCAGCAGGAATAGACTACCACTACCACCAGTTCTCGCTTTCTTTCTCAACTAGATTTCTCCTTAACAGTTTATAGAGCCCGCTTGTCTCTCTTACAGTCATCTCGTCAAGCTACAATGCAACCAGCTGAGGAGATCGGCCTGCGGAGAAGCAGCAGTAGCTGCAGAAGCACCCGAAGGATTCTTCCATCCAACTACACAAGATCAACATCATCACCTCCAGCAGACACCGACGACGTTCCCGAAAAGCCGCTCGTCAGAAGGAATAACTCGGCTTTCAGCCTTCAACGACAAAACAAAACTCGAAGCATGGCAGCCATTATCAGATCACTTCTCGGCGTGATCTCTCTCCCCTCCTTACTTCCTTCATCCCGGTGGCTCAGCATCCCTTCCCGTCTTTCACCATCACCATCGTTAGGGCGTAAAGTCACTGGAACTCTCTTCGGGCACAAGAAGGGTCATGTCAGCTTTGCAGTGCAAGATGACCCACGGTCTGAACCTGTTCTATTGCTGGAGTTGGCCACCTCGACGTCTTCTCTGGTGAAGGAGATGTCGTCCGGCTTGGTCCGAATCGCGCTTGAATGCGAGAAGGGATCGGCTGCCAGTGGCCGGCCGGTGAAGCTGTTCCAGGAGCCCATGTGGACTATGTACTGTAATGGCCGAAAGTGTGGCTATAGTATGTCCCGCACGTGCGGGGAACCCGATTGGCAAGTGCTGAATACCGTGCAGACTGTTTCAGTCGGTGCCGGTGTAATTCCGGCCGAGAAGGATCAAAATAATAACACGGCAGAAGGGGAGCTTATGTATATGCGAGCAAGGTTTGAACGAGTCGTCGGTAGTCGTGACTCGGAAGCTTTTTATATGATGAACCCGGACGGTAATGGCGGGCCGGAACTCAGCATCTTTCTGCTTAGAATTTGAGATACTCATCTTTCGATTGTTTCGCCTTAAATCTTAACAAGCTGGGCTATATGATTGCTTTCTGTAAGAATGTAACTTTGTAATGTTTATGTTGCAATTGTGTATTTCTGTATGACTGTATCATCTCCTCTCAAATCTTTTTTTTTTTCGTTCATGGTGAATTGGTTCGACTTCGACCTGCTCTCTCAAACGCGTACACTTACACCCACACGTGCACCGTTCACATGCGGCAAGCGGCAAACCTCTCTCTCATCCAATGCATTTCCTCCAATTAAGACATCCATCCTAACTGGTCGGATCGTTGTTCGGACCATGTAGCTCAGACCCGGTTGGCTGTTGTATTGTATGCATCTATTATTTAATGTATTTGTCGAGTCCGATCAGAACCCGACCCACCAATAATCATACTAATAAACTTTGGGAATTGATTTAATATAAGAGTGCGGCAAAGTCAAAATTATATTGCATGCGTACAAAATTAAGAAAATATGAAAATTCAAAATTATATTTACGATATGCACATTAATTAACCTTGGTCCTATTCAATGAGTCAGGCCTTGTCCACGTCAGGAGATCCGGTCCCGACCCCAATAAGTAAATGTGCAAAAGCAGTTTCGAGTCAAACCATATAGGGTCTGTAATTGGGATCATTAGGTCTGACCCGATTATATTTGATAGCTGTACTTTTAATCTATAACTTAATAATAAACCTATTTATTTGTTAAATTAACACACTTAGACATCAAAACATGATAAATTGAGAATATTATAACTAGATCATGAAAAAAGTAGGCATCAGATTTGAGGTCTCCTTCTAATGTCTCCATATATATACACATATTTTACATTATTAGACATATTCGCAGTTTTGGGTTCGGGCTTCGGGTCCAATCCATTAGAATTTTGACAAAAAGTCAAAAATCAAGCTTGAACGGCTGAACCTGACTCGTGAACTAGGAGATTAAAAGGTTAGACCAGAGCACGGTGTACGTGAGATCCATTGAACTTATCATAAAGAGCCTACACTTATGTAGAATCCAACCCATTCGGCCACATCTATAGTAAAAGTAAGTAACCATCTCAACTACCGGGTCATCATCCAATCCAATCACAATTGGGATAATATAATGCAGACCCAAACCCATATTATTGGGTTGGTTCAGTTCAAGTCTGTCCGCCGGTTTGTCCAAGCGAATGACAACCCTACTTGCATGTGAGATAAAGTGGGATGTCTGGGGCTGTTATGATTGCTTTGTGGTGCACGGGGACTGTAAAAATGTAAATTAATCGATAAATATAAAATAAAGAATAAAAAAGCAGGAAAATAATATGAAACGGAGTAAGGCAGCCATGACCATGAGGAACAAGGAAGAAGGAAAGAAAGCCAAAATGAGGTGCGAGAGTACCAATGCAAGACAAGAGATGCGTTATATCATTTATTAAATTCTATATATATATATATATATATATACTGGTTTAGCTCGTGGGATCAAAGAGACAGGATCCTGCCATGGAAGATCTGGACAATTTTTTTAGAGGCTCCATGAAACAGTGTTTTTTTGGCACCTTATATGTGGATGGCTTCAAAGCAATCTCCATCGGTTTAGGCGATCCACGTTGAAAGAGATAATGCACCAAGTGTTTGTGTAATTTAAAAGCTTGGTTTTGGGGACAGACAGTTTGGCAGTTTGGGGCTGGGGGCCCTGCAGGTTTGTCACATGTCCTTCACAACTGGACTGATACAATTGGGACCCACTATTCAATTGGGCCTACTACTCAATCCCAACTGATCCTTTTCTTGGGTTTCACTGAAAAGCAAGGCCCAGCCGAAATAGCTGCTCAGGAATCGGATTCCAACACCCAGGTTATGAATGTCTTTTATGCCGGCCATACCAGCTTGACACATCCATGAATTCCCCATAATTCATCAGCCTGGCCATTAGTAGCCCTTTCAATAAGATAAAAGAAGAATCAATCATCCATTGTCCCACTTGATTTCTTATGAAACTTCCAGTGGTATTTCCATATTGGGCTAGTGCATTGTCTGCTCTTTCAAATCATCCAAATGATACATAGGAAGTATGTGGCCCATTCCTCTAGATTTCTTCATACACATTCCAAGTCCCTTAAATTATATTCTAATTGGGTATTGGGAGTTATAAGGGTGGGCTTTGGTGTTTCATTGCGACTTTGGGTGATTAGGGTTTAAATCTTGGAAACAGCCTTTTTTTTTATATATAAATTAAGATAAAATTGTTTACATCTGTCTCTCCCCAGACCCTGTATTGTATTGATAGAAACCTTGTGCATTGGGATTCCCTTTATAGTTTATACTTTTAGCTGAGAGTTGCAATTAAAATGAGCATAAATAATTTAGGTTAGGGATGACAGAGTTCAGCCTTGATTTAGGTTTTGAGCTCTGGGTTGGGTTTTGGTTAAAGTGTTAAACTAAAGGCTCTTCTTATGGGTGTTACTGTCCTTGGAACATTGTTTGGTTGTTAAACTAGAGAAAAGAAAATAAAATTTAAGAAAAGAGCGATCTAGCCCATTGCCTATCCCTTCGCATGTGTTGCTTCCTCTTAAATTGAAATTGGTCAAGTACCATTAAAATTTTTGCAAGAGGGTTATAATATATGAAAGGGAAAATGATAATTGACTTGATCTAATTAAATGGCCCATTCCAGGTTACATATGGTATTTACTTTGGAATGCTATCTTCCTAAAACAAAAATAGACAGTAATTTCAAATTAAACATAACACAACTAAATTCAGAATTTTACAAAACAAATGAGCAAATGGCTTAAAGATACAAATGATACAAGTTGCATCTATTATAATTTGGAAATATTACCTTGTACGTTGACAGATAATATAAGGCCATCGTCAGATGTTGGTCCCAGCTATCTAGGATTTAGGGAATGAGTGATAGATTGGGTATGATTTAATTTTTGGCATTTTTTGCCACCCTCATACTCCAACCCGTGTTCTCATGGATGCCAACCCGAAATTTTACCAAGAGGGGACTAGTCAATTCATGCTTCTTATATTGGATTAAGCCAAACCTAGATCATACTCTTTCCTGAGGGGAAGTGGAAGTACCAAAGTCTCTATTAGGAAAAGTTTTTGTCACTCAAATATATATTCCAACATGTATAATTGCAGATTTTGAAATACTTTTGGAATCTTTATTTAGGCGCTACCACTTTTTTGATAAATAAAGTGCACAATTTGTTGAAAAAAAAAAGTGCTTTTGTTGCTTTGACGATCAGATACACTACCCACAAGAGGTTCTCTTTTGTCTGTCCATCCGAGGGATGCTCTATTGGTCGATGTTAGAAAGTTTTCAAATCACTTTTTTTAAAACATTTTTAGGTGGTTGTTTGGTTCTATTTTTGTTTTTTTTTTTCATTATGTTTTCTTAGAAAATGGCAATGTTTGGAGGAATTTGGATTAGCTGAATGCTTTAACTGTTCAGCCCATTGTGGAACTAATGATGAGTTTCTACATCAGTAATAAATTCATGGGCTCCACTGCAAAATATGCAGACCCCATGTATTAAATACTGGCATGGAATCTTACCATTGGTTGAGCAGCTAAAGCCTTCAGCTAATCCTTTGTTTGGAGGTATTTTGATTCCATTGCAGTTTCCACCAATTTTGTAGAACCATTGCATGTTTTTTCCGTTACGTTTTTCAACTAAACAGTAGATTAGACAGTTGAAAACCAATCACTGATGTGGCTCCAACGCAGCACATGAGCACCCTAGTTGTCAAAATTAGGAGGTAATCGATTCACTTTCTATGTTTGAATTGAAGATTAACTGTAGGCAACCAGTTTATCAAATTAGGAGGTAATCGGATCTGCTTTTTTACATTTGTTTTAATACAGTTGAAGTTGTAAGGCTATATTTGAACCTTAAATGGTAATTTAGTTTGTAATTAGAAGGTTGCATCTATTGCAAGTGGAAGGGGATTGATCGAAGAGAACATGGGTAGAAGCAAGATTCAAGTTATTGATGTGTATTGGTACTAAAAACCATGCTCTTTTATATGCTTTTAGCTTTTTTTTTTCAAAATTAGTTTATATATATTTTTTATTAAAAAAAAGGGTATCCAAAACATCGATGTATAGGTGTTTTGGAATTTAAAAAATACGATATGATACATTCGATATGGATAGGTAAAAGTAATAAAATGATTTAAGCACTAATAATTTAATGATGGATCATATGATTTTAAATAGAACAGATTGGTGAAACAGGATTCATGTAGCCAATCCCATATAATTGTGATAAAGTCTGGATGATGATGATGATGATGAATTAGAAGATTACGCCCGACTACATTTTGAGTAGGACTATAAAGCAATCTTATTTTTCAACATCAATTAAAATCATCCTTCCTATTAGGGGTGTCGGTGACTTTGATTGAGTCGTAACCCCATCATGTATAGCTTCAACCAGAGTTATTGAACCATCATTGACCCAAACAATCAAACCGTTCAGCCTAGAAATCGTCTAGGCAACCAGTTCTGTTTCACCCTTAACCCGTTCTTGGGCCAAAAATTGTTGACTTGGTTAGAAAACTGCTGACCTGGGCGGTCAAATCGTCGATCCGAACAGCGGTTCTCAGTTTAATAAAGGATGTAGAGTATATTAGAGAGGGGAGGAATTGAGACAAGACTGATCTCAGATATGAAATCACTAGATCCTAGAGAGAGAGAGAGAGAGAGAAGAGGAAGAAGAAACAAGATTTGCAAAGGTTGGAGAGAAATCAGATATCAGATCTGATATCTCAATTCTTAGATCCCAGATCTAAGATCTATAACAATTGCCACTACATCTGTTGTCGTCGTCGTTGCTGTTGCCATTGCCGTCGCCGCCGTCATCGTCATCGTCGGCCGGTGAACATCAGATCCTCCTCTTCTCTTTCCCTCCTTCCCTTCTTTCTTCCTTCCTTTCCTTTCTTTCTTTAATTTCCTTTTTTTTTTCCTTTCTCTCATTTCTTTCTTTCCTTCTTTTCTTCTTTCTTTATTTCTTTTTCAGTCGATAACTACATAGTCTCTCTTTTCTCATACTGATAAAAGCTAGAAATTGCCCTAATAATCCAAACCACTTGAACTGTTCAACCACCGGTGGACAGTATTTTGATGAATTGGATTCAGGTTGAGGTAAACCCATGCTAAACCTGACCCATTAACATTGCAACATTGAAATGTACATGCAAACA